ATTAGTGCCTCTCTGTTTTCAGCGCATCCAATTCCTGAAGTTCTGTGCACTACTTTATCCATTTCTATAGTAAATCTGTTGGGAACTCCGAATCGAAATCCAGATCTCTGTCCTATATTTCGTGCATAAGTCAAATTAATTTGCATCACAATGGAAAAATAAAATGCTATTTGATCAAACACATTAGCTGCTGAATTCAACACTGATCTTTCATTATTTCGCAAAGATTCTAAACTACTCAACAGTGATATACGCCTCTTTCAACATTCTCTTCGAAATTCGACACTAGGCCAAATTTTTTAGTCCAAAGAGGCTTTGTCCTGAAGGATTTTTGTTTTCCTCTTGCGATTTTGCGTCGAACGACTCTAAATGTCCGTTTCACTTTTCAAACCGTTGCCACCCAATATTATCGCCCTGTATTGTATTTGAAGAAAAGTCGACTTAACACTTTCCGCTTCATAAAGCAAATCGTCTGCATACAGAGCTTGTGGAAACTTATTTACTTAACAGTTATTTTATGTTTAAGCAACTCTCCTAACGCTTCGAGGTTGACCCAACATGAAATTTCTAATGCACTTACCACGTGGAAGACTGGCCTCTAATTGCGGACATTGCACTGGTGACTTTTTGTGCCTCTGGCATTGGATGGAGTAGGAAAATGGGAATTCAGCTATTCAATGAAATTCAGAACTGAGGTCTTCACATCGAAGGTGAGTGCAGGCTTCAAAGCAGCCCTTAGGCTGTCGACGATAAATCCAAATCCCTCCATGGGATTACTTGTGGTTAACGAAGCGTGCGACGTTGAAGGGATCAAAGTTAAACGGTGAAGTTTCCTGTGACGTGGTTCTATTTATTGTTCGAGCGCCAGTATAACGTCTCGTATGCTTGACTATCATAAAATGTAGTCGACGTTGAAGGTTGTTTGCTGAATTATCACCAGTTCCTTAAAGTATTACAAAAACTCAGGAGAAGGTTCTTTTATTGATTGAAAGTTTCGCAGGCAGCACCTACTCGTGCTCACAGTAGCCAACACTTCTGGCTTAATCCTTTGGTACCGATTTTTTTCCCTTTGGTTTTATATTATTTGGGACAAATAAACTATGGTAAAATATTTTAGAAAAAGTGAAAAAGTTTACATTTCAGAAGCAAATAGGAATGGGACAGATATATCCCAGTGGGATTTTTAACTGGGATATATATGTCCCAATGGGAAAATAAATAGAGGTTTTATGTATTACAGAATGAAAATCTGGACACATGTATCTTAGGCACATGGCCTCTGGGGCACATGTATCCCAGGCACAATTATTGAATCAAATTATGGGGTAAATCAAAAAAAAAAAAAAAAAAAAAAAAAAAAAAAAAAAAAAAAAATCACAACATGTCGCTCAAAGAGGCGGCCAACTTACCTGAGGAAATCGTTCCAAAAAATTACACAGCAATTGCAATATATGTAGAAATACAGGATAAAAAGTAGATCATACGCAGCTCCGTTGCTCTGTTTGCAAACATACTGACCCGCGCAGACGTGTCTCAGCTTGCAAAAACATTTCAAAAACGTCACCAGTAGTTGAAACACCCGTTTAAGCTTGTTTCCGTGTTAAACGGGACGTAGATGACCCGGTGGACGTATTTTGGTATACGTTGGGATCTATATGCCGCTATAGGGCCGAAAGGGTTAATTCAAAAGGTAATGAATAACTTAAAAGTAATGAAGTTAAGTGCAGCATAACGGCTTCACAGTTTAACTATTGCGTAAGCTGACTTTGACCCAAAAGTCGGCGTAAACAAGCCTAATGGCAAGAGTAGCTCAACGCCACAGAATTCTAATCGGTAGAAAATCAAAAGTTAGAAATATGGCCTTCAGACAGCTAGAACACGCTCTGATTTCACCTCCCAAAACCTTCTCTTAAATGCTAACTTCTTTCTACCTCTTTTATGAACACACGCGCGCTAGTCAATTTGCATTTTCGCAAGAAAGTGTAAACTGAAAGAAAGAGCGATAGGTATCAGAGTCGTAGCTAGGGTTTTCAGCGCCCAGTGACAACTGAAGATTTCGCGCCCCCTACTGCTCGCCAAGGATGGAAAACATTTAATTCTAAAATGTCGTAACATCAGTTTGGCGCCCCTTGGATTCTGCGCCCGGGGACAGTTGCCCCCCTCTAGCTACGCCCCTGATAGGTATGCTGCTTAAACATAAAATAAGTGTCAAGTAAATTAAATAAACCCTCATAATCTTGAAACAATCTTTATTCACTTATGAATATTTCTTTAAATGATATTTGATCGATATGCTGAATGAAAACGGTGAACCACATGGAGATAAGAAATTCGCATGTGCGGTCCCCCACAGGTCACAGTGTTCCAGCTGTTGCGAGTTGTGAGACAACAGGCTCTTGACATTGCAGAAACAATAATTCTTACAGTTAGGGCTCCACTTACAAGAATCATAACTTCACGGCCAATGTCAAGGGACTTACCTATCTGCAGTGTATCTGTCACCAAAGCCTTTCGATTTCAGGAAGGCTGACGGACCAGCGATCCTGTTGCTCTTTTCTGATATATTTCCAACTCTAACGAATCATAGGACGTAAAATACAACCGAAAAATTAAACAGACGTGACTAATTCAGTCTGCAAATCGTTTTAGACAAGACAGGCACTCAGAATGCTCTTAAACTCTCGACTAGAGAGACTCTTGCCGCTAGCAAGATCCTCATACAATGAGGACAATAACAACAAAAGTTTCTATGCCATGTGGAATTGCGCCATGAGCGCGGCATACCACTACCACCTCACTCTATTCATTTGCACAAATTTAAGCCCTCACTATCATCATCAAAGCAAACAAAAATTTTAAATATTACACCACTCTATTCATTTGCATAATTTTAAGTCCTCGCTGTCATCATCCAAGGCAAAACAAAAATTTTAAATATTGCTCGTTTTTCTTTGCTATTGCAATAATCAAAAATGCCTTTTCTATGTCGGCACAATTTCCGAATTTAAATTTTCGGAAAACAAGAATATCTAACGTATTTGGAATTAGGCTTAGACTTTTCTCTAAACAGATGTTTAACGATAAGATTTTTGCAATTGCTACAATGAAATACGATTCGTACTTGCGTGCGTTTTTTTTTTTTTATTATTTTTATTTTTATGGATCCAATTTTATATCTGATATTTAATTTATCTCCATGAACTGTTTGTTCTCTCTCAAAGCTGTTCATTTTTAATCTTTCTGCACTATTTCGAACTTATCTGGACTCATTTTTTTTTTTTTTTTTCCACAACAAAAGCGCTTCATATCTTCCATCTACGTATTGCTAATCTTCAAACTGCTTAATAATTTGTTTATCGCTCTCACTCATTCCCAATTAGTAATTCATAAATTTTCGACTGCCCACAGCTGGCGATACCGAATCAACTTCTATAAAGAACCAATCGAATTTGCCTCGGATGAACTTTGCTTCTCAACATAAGCCCCCATTTACCACTCAACTCCTATCAGAGTATGCTGTCATACAACACTAAGACTTCCAGTCAAACGATGCGCTTGTCAAAATAAAGTTCAAATAAACAATCATTAGCAATTAAAATATCCACCTCTGCTGCGTCAAATCCTTCCTTACGTAACTAATTTACGACTCGCCTTGTTGACCTCGCTATCATGCCTAACATATGGTTTGGATTTCGAGTGCTTTCCAGAGTTAAGTAGATGCACTTTTATTTTCTTTTAAACGCTATCTCTAGAGGATTTGAAGACGCAAAAGTATGAATTCTTTTTCCCTGCCAATAGTTGGCAGTTGTGCCTTTAATGCACGTAATATTGACTCGCATAATAAATATCCTTCGGATGTAGAATAGCACTATCTAACACTAAATCATAGGTTCCCAAAGTTTAGTTTTAAATCAGATCATTAGGAATCTGTGACTCAGCGTTTCTAGAAACAGTGAGCTAATGTTTATTTCTTTTGCTCTTTTTGTGTTTTGCGCATTTTTATCGTTTCTATTTGCTTCCACGTTTGATGAGTCACATGGGCTGTCTAAAATGCTTCTGAGATTTGCAAATGTTACTGATCTGCAGTGTATCAAATGTTACGATCTGCAGTGTTACATTTAATGCACTTCGCTTTCCAATTTTCTTTTCTGCAAATCACCCGCGTACCTTTTAACTGAAACGAAGCGTCATTGCTGAAGCCATTTTCTTTTCAACCTGGAAAGAAATTTTTACGTTAATCATTAGTCCAAAGGGAGAATTTGCCCAAAAGGACAATTAATTTCGTTTAGGCATTTTGCGTTCATTCACTACAAACATTGTTTCACTTTTCAAATTGTTGCCACCCAATATTATCGCCCTGTATTATATTTGAAGAAATTAAATAATGAACAATCTGTATAAATGTATGAATGTTTCTCGCATTGTGATAAAACAACGGTACCTAAAGCCATCCAATTTCGAATAACGTAATCCTCTTGCGAATATGGGCATCTGGAAGTCCAAATTTGAAATTTGGAAATTGATATATTATCGATTTCATAGTTTGTAAAACTTTAACGAATTTTTGATTAACAAACTCAAGAATTTCAAAGCGAGCCGTGTCAACGTTGTACAGAAAAAATAGTCTTATCTCCAGCGCGCGAGACTGTGTTTTGGATATCCTAAAGATATGCTCATTTTAAAATTATTTTGCGATATTGCTCTTGAACTCAATTTTATGGTTTAAACGTGAAGAACATGATACTTAATAAATAAAGGTAACACAAAAAATTTTAAAAAACAGCCCTTTGGATGTAATCTAAAATCTGAAACCTTTCAGATTTTTTTTTTTTTTTTTTTTTTCATTTATTTTTTTCTATTCTTCTGGGATGTGCGGTTAAGACCAAGTGTTAAGAACTTTTGACGCACTTCTTTCTTTAGAGATGATTATAAATTTAATACTGTTGACTCTTTCCCTGAATTTTGCTGTCCTAAAAACCTGTAGTATTAAATCTTGTGGTATAAACTTATATAAGATGGGCAGTAGGTAGACTACCATGCACAGGACCCATGCTAATCTTCTCTGTATAGTTCCAATTTTAGTATATGTACTGCCGAAGCAAGTACAGTAGACTAACTACCATAATCAAAATTAATATCACAAGTTTCTGACCTTCTAATCTGAACCGTTACTTTATCATATAATGTTCTAAAACTGGATACATCACTGGAATTACTTACAGGCTCCCAAGGATAGGAGAACGTTCATATGTGGAAGTGGTTCAAACTCAAATTGCCCATGGGCCGCATAAACGATCAGAAAACAACTAACGAGCCAGAATTTTATTTATATATAAAAAAAAATATTTTAAATACATTTTAAATGTCGCTTACTAAATATTTTTAAAAACTTACATAAACAATCCTAATAATATTGCATAGGATAAAAATTCAAACTTGTCTGTTTTCTATCTGAAATCTAAGTTTTGCACCTGAAAGACATTTTTTACATTTTTATTGGTTACACTTTGTAATACAAATATACTGACAATCAAATGTTAAATTTTTAGACTAACATTTATGTTAAATAGTTTTAACATGTTTAATTAATCGTTAAATAACTTACATTAATTTGAACTGAAAAAAATTATGAAAACTTTCTTAATTTTTCAAGTAGCAAATAACTTTCGAATAAATAATGGCAATTTAGTCGTGTAGAGAAATTAGGTATTTTTGAAGCAGGAGTACATGAAAAATGTGCAATGTCCTCGCCGAGACTCAAACCTGGACCTCTCGATACGCGCCAAGTGTGCAACCGTTCCACTACGAAAGCATGCAGAAAGAAGGTAGAAAATACCTTATATATTCCCCGTTTTAAAGAGCGACTCGGGGTTACGGGACCCAATCGCCAAATCCTGATGGCGAAGAATCATCACCCACCACATTTTAGTTCGGGGCGCCACTGGAGAGTCATTACATTGTTTTGAAGCAGGAGACATGAAAAATGAGCAAAACGCTCGCCGGGACTCGGACCTGGACCTCTCGATACGCGCCGAGTGTGCTTATAGTCTCTGTCATATTTATTAATTTTTTCGACGTATAAATGAAAATACATATGTTTATATGTAAATAATTATAAGTTTATTTGATTTCTATCTATAGCTTGGTGCGTGGTGGCGTTTCGATTTTGATAAAGTCTTGGAGGGAAGTTAGTATTACTAAATCATCTTCAACACAGGTTGTAGATGGCCATCGGTCAATCGGGTTTTTTTTCCGCACAAATGTTCAACTGTGAAAAAAAGATATTTACGTGTAAATGTATTCCCGAACAAAGCAATTATTCTTAGCGCAAAAGTTCCTAACTGATTTAATTTTTGACAAGTACGAATAAAAATTAATAAAATCCGCATCTTCATAAGATTTATATTACGCTGTAAATTAATTAACTCCATTCATAGAATTCCTGACGCGTTTTCCGGTGTTTTTAATGGCAATGAAAATAATATAAATTCGTGCTTCAAATAACTGAAATTTTGAAATCTTTATAACACTATATTTTCAACAGAGTTAAAAGTGAAATATCATCGCGGACCGTATAAAATTGCTGCGAGGCCGCACGAAGACACATATTTCTCTCTTTCCAAATCCATCAGGCCCACCAGCGGCCGAGCGGTAAAGACGCTGAACACTGGTAGTTCGGTCCGAGGTTCGAATCCCGCGACCGGGCTGGCTGCATGGGCGTTTTCGTGGTTTTTCCCATGTGTAACTTGTATACGAGCCAGTTTCCCTTAGAAAGTCCTCCACGAAGGCATCCCTCCCGTTAGCGTAATGGCAGACCGCACATTGAGTTGAACAGTGTTAAACGAATGTCGCATACTGCGCATGCTCAGAAAACAATTTGGCGTAATTACTATGTTGGCGCGATTTGAAAAGAAGATAAATACGGTATATGGTAGATGTATCGCCATCTAATTGTAAACAAATCTGGCGTTTAAATCTTCGTAGAGTATAATGTAAATTAATTACTGTGTTAAAATACTATTTTTTGCTCTACTGCTCAAACAACTAGAAAGCTGAAATTATTGCGAAGCTTTGTGAAGCAGTGTTTACATTCAAAATGTAAAATATAATACTTACGAAATTCTGCACATTCCTTTGCAACTGTACAAATTTTCGTTCAGAAAAAGACTGTAATTTAGTATGTATTAGTTGAAAATTTATTCATTATACTTTTAAGCAATAAAAACATTTCAGGATTTACCATACGTTACATTCGTACATACATAAAGAAACACTGAGGAATGTAACAAGTGCTTGCAAATAACACTGAAGAAATTTTACAATTCTTTAATGCTAGTTATTAAATTTTTTGAAATGAGAAAATAAAAGCGCGAATATACGCTAACAAACTAAGCGAAATACTCCAATTTACAATTACTGAATTGTAACATGTCAACAAATTACATTTAAATAACGAATTATTACGCACTGCATATGTTAACAAATATTAAATGCACTGTTATTGACAAATTACAATGAAATGAACCATATATTAGAAAATTTAAGCAAGTGCAATCAGTATGGACGTCAAAATAACTAATAAAAAGTCAAAATAACTAATAAAAGTTCCACAACATTGCAGTTTTAAACATCACTCGAACACACAGACATCCATTTTGAGATCACGAATAAGCTAACAAAGGGTTGCTTAGTCGCCAATATTTCTCCCCGCACCAAAGGTACACCATCAAGCATGCGCAGTAAGCGAAATTCGCTTAACACTGTTCAACTCAATGTGCGGTCTGCCATTACGCCTCCCGTTAGGCAGATAGCCCTCGTGTGCTTTGCCGTAATTAAATAATCCAATCCAAATCAATCAGTCAAAATTTCGATGGCTTTTTGCAGTTTCTCCTGTTAACATAACTCGCCTATGCTTTTACAGCTGAACCCGTGAATAGCGATCGACAATAACATCAGATCAGGTCTCTGATATCAGAGCCAGCGCACGAAATTCATCGTGGCAAAGAGTCAAGATTGCGCCTGTCTTTGGCAAGAGGCTCGGGTATTATACAGGTGAGAGTACAACTTCGCCCACTTCCCCCCCCCCCACATATAATTTTGATGAACAGCACACCAGGGAACGCGTCTGAGTCTCCCGCCCCAATTTCCCTACCATGGAGGTAGGAAGTAAGATGGAGTCGCCCTAAACAAGTTTCTCCGTACCAATGCTCTGAAGCACCGGCGATCCCTACGTGGTGACCAAAACATTGGGTCATTTACCATTGAGTTCTATGGGATTTGACGCGTTCGTATGTAAATATTTTGTAATTACGTCGCAAATATACATATAAATGTATATTTTCTTTTTCTACAACACTTCAGAGTCCTAAGTATGTGAAAAACAACATATTTTTAAACAACATTTCATTCTGAACGGAATTAAATGCTATACTTTTCACAGGACAGTTTTCTCAGAATGGTTTTAATTTGAATGAAATAGTTTTCACAAGTTTTCGTTAATTACATTAGAAAAAAAAAATTAAGGTAATTCGATTTTATTCGGTTAAGGTACAAAAATTAAGATCAAAGTTTATTGTATTATTAAATATTAAAATTATGCATTATTTCTTTTTCTATTTATAGAGCTTCTTCTTAAAATACTTCCTTAAATATGACATGATTTTTTTGGCTTCTTTTAAATCGAAAAAATGTAAGTCAATTTATAATTAATGATCTATTCGGTTCATTTTAAATTAGAGAATTATTAGGAATTAGCGAAATACTTTAAATAAGTATTTCGCTAATTCCTAATAATTAAATTGGTATTAAATAGTATTTGACTTTCTCTGAACATTTCTGAAAGGGAATAAAATAAGTTTTTTTTTTTTTTTTTTTTTTTTTTTTAAGTATTATTTTAAAACTTGTAACTGAGTTATTATAAAATGTAAAGGGAATAATTCTTTTAATTATTCTTATTCTTATCAGATTTTTTTTTACCCTTCATTTCAACAATACATATTCCAAAACTCTTTATTACGTTCTTAAGTGCGCATCTCATAGCATTTGCTTTACAATACCTTTTAACAGATTGCTTTCCAATACGAACAAATTCTTGCTTAAATAGTTTTATAACGTATATTAGTCAACAGGATTTCAATTTATGTTTACAATTCAATATTAAGGTTATTATATATTTAGATAACATTTATAATCATTATAAATTAGATACATTTAAACATTAGATTTCTTCACAGTACTTTCACAGTTGTTTATAAGTGAATAAATTCTTCATTTCAAATACATTTATAAATAATGTAATGAATATTTAAGTATTTTGTCAAAGGCAGATACATGCTTTTTGCAAGCATATGCATAAATACCCATACATATTTCCTATTTATCATTTCAGGCATGTGCAAATCTTTAATTTCTGTGCTTTCACTATATTTTTCGTGTAAAGTAATTTACACTAATTTAGCATACACCCGAAAGTTTTACATAAAAAATATATATGAATATAATTTGAATGAAAATTATAAGTATTATTTTTAATACCCAATCAAAGGTCAGTTTTTCTTCAAAATTCCTCCACGATGGCATCTCTCTTTAGGCAGATAGCCCTTGCATGCGTTACTCTAATAAAAACTTAATCTGACCTATGTGCCTAATTACAAATATTTTAACATACATAATTTTATATTTACATTTAGCTATCAAGTTTCAAAACTTTTCAAATCTTCTAGAAAAATAAATTTTTGGCAGATCTCTTTTAGCAATTTTCTTAAAATCTATATTTTTGTAGTGCAACAGCTTAGAATTTTATAAAACAAATTCATAATCAAAATCGCTGTTGTTAGTTATCGAAAAATAACCAAGATGTGATTTTTGCGTAAATGTCAGTAAACTATACAAATTGCTATTATCCATCACACTATGAATGTTTTTTTCATGCGAGAGTGTCCCTTTTTCGATTTTTATGGAACTGTCGTGTGTCGAAATACTATCAGAATCTTGTCAAGCGAGCTTCTGAATGTAAACATAAAACACCCCGTCTGGTGACCCAAGCTTCAAAGCAGTGCTTCACTTCTAGCGCGGAATGGCCCCTCCTCCCTTTCCTACCTCCATGT